ATATGCAAAATTTTCTAAGTGTTAATTCTGGTTGAAATCAGTAGCGTTTTTGGGCCATGTCATCCCAGAGGAAGGCGTGAAGGTGGACTCTCAGAAAATAGAGGCAGTGAAGAATTAGCCTAGACCCACCTCAGTATTCGATATAAGAATTTTCTTGGGTCTAGCAGGCTATTATAGGCGTTTCGTAGAGGGATTTTCTTCCATCTTATCCCCTTTGACTAGATTAACTCAGAAGAAAGTCAAGTTTCAATGGTCGGATGCGTGCGAGAAAAGTTTTGAGGAGTTAAAGAAGAGGTTGACTTCAGCTCTTGTCCTAACACTACCGGAAGGAACCGAAGGGTTCGTTGTTTATTGTGACGCTTCAGGGGTTGGTCTTGGGTGTGTATTAATGCAGCATGGTAAAGTCATAGCCTACGCATCGAGGCAACTCAAGGCTCACGAGAAGAATTATCCGACTCATGATCTTAATTTAGCAGTTGTGGTGTTTGCGCTTATGATCTGGCGTCATTATTTGTATGGGGTACATGTTGACATTTTTACAGGTCATAAGAGTCTCCAATACATCTTCAAGCAACGAGAATTAAATCTACGTCAGAGGAGGTGGCTCGAATTACTTAAAGATTATGATGTTGATATCCTCTATCATTCGGGGAAGGCAAATGTTGTAGTTGATGCTCTCAGTCGGCATTCTATGGGAAGCTTAGCTCATGTTGAGGCAGACAAGCGAACTACGATGAAGGAAGTCCACCGCTTAGCAAGTCTAGGAGTTTGACTTTTGGACTTCGAAGATGGTGGCGTTGTTCTCCATAACAGGGCTGAATCCTCCTTAGTAGCCGAAGTAAAAAGAAAAACAGTTAAGTGATCCCTACTTATTGCAGCTGAAGGAAGGAATTCACAAACACAAGACTATGGCTTTTGAATAAGGGGGAGATGATGGTACTATGAGATATAGAGGCAGACTATGCGTTCCAGACGTAGATGGGCTCAGAGAGCGGATTATGTCAGAAGCCCACAATTCCAGGTATTTTATTCACCCAGGTCCCACAAAGATGTATCATGATCTTAAGGAGGTTTATTGGTGGAACGATATGAAAAAGAATATAGCATACTTCGTGGATAAGTGTCCAAATTGTCAGCAGGTGAAAATCGAACACCAGAGACCTAGCGGCTTAACTCAGAATATAGAAATTCCCGTTTGGAAATGGGAAATGATAAATATGGACTTCATAACAGGTCTACCTCGCTTGTTCCGGAAGTATGATTCGATTTGGGTGATTGTAGACCAACTTACCAAGTCAGCTCACTTCTTGCCAGTGAAGACTACAGATTTGGCCGAAGATTATGCCAAGTTGTATATCAAAGAAATTGTCTGATTGCATGGGACTCCTTTGTCCATTATCTCAGATCGTGGTGCTCAATTCACAACAAACTTTTAGAAATCCTTCAGAAGGTATTGGGCACAAGGGTGAACCTCAACACCGATTTTCATCCTCAGACAGATGGCCAAGCGGAGCGCACCATTCAGACTCTTGAGGATATGTTGAGGGCGTGTGTTATTGATTTGAAAGGTAATTGGGACGATTATCTACCTCTCATTGAGTTTGCTTATAATAACAGTTATCACTCCAGTATCAAGATGGAACCGTACGAAGCTCTATATAGGCGAAGGTGTAAATCACCAATTGGGTGGTTCGAAGTCAGAGAAGTGGAGTTATTAGGACCCGATTTGGTCTATCAGGCTATGGAGAAAGTCAACTCGATTCAAAGGCATTTGAAGACGGCTAAAAGTTGCCAAAAGTCCTATTTAAACGTGCGGCGTAGAGACTTAGAGTTCCAAGTTGATGATTGGGTGTTTCTGAAAGTATCACCCATGAAAGGCGTTATGAGATTTGGGAAGAAGGGGAAACTTAGTCCCCGCTATATTGGTCCATATAGAATCCTGCGAAGGATCAGACAGGTGGCTTATGAGTTAGAATTGCCACAAGAACTAGCTGTTGTACACCCAGTGTTTCATGTGTCCATGTTGAAGAAATTCATGGGAGACCCATCACTTGTGGTTCCTACAGAGGTTATAGGGGTTAAAGACAGCTTGTCTTACGAAGAAATTCCAGTGGCTATTCTTGATCGTCAAATCCGCAAGCTTAGAACTAAGGAAATTGGTTCAGTAAAAGTGCTTTGGAGGGATCAAAAGGTTGAAGAGGCTACATGGGAAGCCGAAGAGGACATGAAGTCCAGATATCCCCATCTTTTTGAAGAGCAAAAGGAAAATGTGGAAAGTAATTAACCTTTCCATTCAGGTCTTATATTATAATCTCCATGTCCTTCAGTATTTACTCAGCTTAGTATTTAGTGATCACGTGCTCGTCCAGTTTGATATACATGTATTCATGATATTTCAGTATTCTCATATCTCCATCACACCCGTTTAATGTCCATAGATAGTCGTAGTCGCAGCCAAGACCATCATTCGAGGACGAATGATTCCAAGGGGGAGATAATGTAACACCCGGTAAAATTCGGCTTAGGTATGAATGAGTTAAAGGAGTAGTAAGGATATATTTTGAACATATAAAGTCCCATCGGGATGATTATGGGTGAAAATAGTTGTTTCAAAATCAAGATGGAAAGTGAGGTGCATAAGATTTGACAAAATTGACTAAGTTTGCAGAAGGTCTATCTTCTAGCAGGGTTTAGTGAAAATGTGTAAGGAATTTGGAAAAACTCAAAGAATAAAAGTTGTAGGCCTTTGAAATAGCTTTCCAACAATATATTGTGGATCCCAAATGGATCTTTGTGAAAAATGTTATGTCCATTTTACAGAATAGTGTGTAACCACCATGGTTATGCTGTGTTTTTACTTCGACCGCGGTGGTGAGGCAGTGTCCCAGTGATTTACCGCGGTCGGGACCGTGGTCGCGCCAACTGGGACGCGGTGGATGACTTGGGAAGTCATTGTTTTAGCCCTATTTCATCCCCCACAACCCCAAAACATAATAACTTGCTCTAGAAAGGAAAGCTCTCAAAAACCTAACTCCTTAAGGGTCCTTCCACCACCCATGGTAAGTTTTAATGGTGATTCTAAGTTACTTTCAATTTCCCAACATCTTATTAACATGGGTAAACCCTCCATACAACAACAATCCAGTATAATCCCACTAGTGGGATCTGGGAAGGGTAGTGTGTACGCAGACCTTACCCCTACCCTGGGGTAGAGAGGCTGTTTCCAAATAAACCCTCGGCATCCTTCCCTCCAAGAATTCCCCACCTTGCTCTTGGGGTGACTCGAACTCACAACCTCTTGGTTGGAAGTGGAGGTTTCTTACCATCAGAGCAACCCCTCTTGGGGTAAACCCTCCATAACATTAGATATTCGATTGGGACATCATTGTTGAGAGAAGGAAGCCTAGAACTCGAATTCAAAGGGTTTGAACTTCAAAAAGGTAATGTCTTCACCCCATAATTGATTATAGCATTTGTTTAATGATTATAAACCCTAGTTCATGAGATATGAGTTGATGGGTTTGATAGAAAAGCATGAACGATTATAGGGTTGGGGTGTTGGTTGTTGATTATTGGCTAAAANATATATATATGGGCCTGAGGCCGCAGTTTAATATTCAGTTAAACAGGTTGTTCATCATTCAGAAGAAGGGGTATTCATATCCTTACTTCCTTGTTCAGTTATCAGTTTATCAGCTAGCAGTTCAGTTTCAATTTCAATATTTACAGTTCTTTTCTTCAGCTGTTTTACATACCATTGCAATTCAAATGTACTAACGTCCCTTTTGCCTGGGGCCTGCATCTCGCGATGCAGGTAACGATTTTCAGATTGACGATTATGCTTGCTAGGACATCTCGTATCAGCTATTTGTGAGCCCCAGTCTTTCGGGGCCTTATCTCACTTTTGTTTAAGTCATTATAGTATTTCAGTTAATAAGGTATACCGGGGACCTTGTCCCGACAAACAATTAGCATTTTCAGTGTTCTTTAGAGACTTCGTAGACTATAACCCAGTCAGTCAGATATTAGCAGGCTTTCATGTGTTAGCCTTGTCTGCTACTTGTTTGTACTTGCAGACCTTTTTAGTATTTTCCGCATCTATGATATTTCAGCCAAACTCTTTGGTAGATTTTCATGTTTATATTTACCTCTAGCTCATAGTTATACCACATGTTGATCCAGCCAAGCAGTTGGTTCGCTCGGTCACATGTAGTCAAGCACTGAGTGTCGTGTTACACCCAGACCATGGTTCGGGGAGTGACAATTAATTTCTCTGCTTTAGAGTTCCAAGTCATGTGTCAACTGGGGGAAAACAATTAAGTTAAAAAATAGAAGTTTCTAATACTTGTAGATGGTCCAATTCTAGAGGTAGTGGCCATCACAAATACGGAGATACGTAGATAAATTTAAGTGCTTTCTTCTTTTTCTTCTTTCCAAACAACCCACATAAGCTTAACCTTAGCAAATTGTGTATTTCGCTGTTTGAGAGCATCAACTTTATTAAGATGCCAGAGGAAAATGTTCTTAGTTCAATTTATTATGTAAATTTGCATTAAAAAAAATTTGGTTTATTAGTAGGAAAAGAACTTTGTTTAAATTATAGAATGATCAAATGTTGGAAAAGTTTACTTAAAAGATTGAAACATATAGAGCGAGCTCAAATTAGGGATTTAATCACTAGCAATGGGTTCAATAAAATTTATTGCTTTCGACTCGAACCATGCGAGCGTGTATATACACATAAATAAAGTAAAGATAGCCTACACTAATAGATTCAAACTGCTCCAACGTCATCTTGAACTTAAAATGGTAGACAATATTGTCAAATTAAAAAGTGATAACAGACTAAAAGAAAACAAGTACATATTTACTCGATAAATAACAATGGATATTAAAGAACAAAAACACATAATGTATTAATTGATTATGAGAGTCTACTAATAGTAGTATTCCCAAATGATAATGCTGAAAGCCCATCTTTTCATGTCAATACTGAAAATTTATTTAGAGAGCATATATATGACGCTAATACGAGAGCAGAAAAAGGAACTTACAGGTACAAAATCTTTTGTATAATCTAGTTGATGAACACTCTAATACAGCTATGCAGAATTCTTCAAAGTCCATCCTTCTATATTGAAGTCCATATCAAACAGTTATTCAATATGAGAAATTGCATTTCTGAATTGTCTGCGTGAAAGAGGTTAGGAAATAAAAGAATGAAAAATGAACTGTTAAGGAGACTATTCAAGATTTTCATACAACACCATAAGATATCCGGGTCAATTTTCTATGTCTTTTATTGGCAGTTTCTATAAGCTCAAGATTATAAGAACTAGAACGAAATGATAAAATGTATCTATGTATGCAGGTTCTGCACATTGCCAATCAACAGATTGATGAAAAACTAGAATCGACTTATTTCAAAATCTAACAGTTGATGCCGCTGATAACATATATATTAGAAAGCTTATAATGTGGATAAAATCTATATACAAAATGCACAGAGGTTTTGAACGACATACCTTTTCTATTATGTAGAAATGATAAAACATAACATCCAAGGTTGAGACCTAAGGGCCATTAAATCAAATTTATATACATTAGTGAAAGTTTAAAAATCACAACATCAAAAAGACAATTCCAGCAATAAGAAGATAAAATATCAAAGTATTAAACAGATGAAATAAATAATTTCAGTTTTTTATAGAGGAAATGGAGTTTTCTCTAATATGTCACAAGCAATATACCATATAGCCTTTAATGACACTACCAATTTAACAAATGATTCATAGATGAGGAGTTTTGTAACCTTAATGTGACGAAAAAAGATAAATGCATAGGTGTGTCACTCTAACTTCATCCTAAATATGCAATACCTAATGATCAGCTTAATGAGTTCTCATATTTACCATAAAATTTTATATACCCATAATATGATAAGAAAAGATAATTTAAATTATTCTACTGAAGGAGCATATGTAAGAGCATAATCACTCCAAAAATTATATGGTGAATTTTAGCTAGAGACAAACAACAAAATTAGTTTAAATAGCTTAAACCTATTTCAAACCTAAGATCAACAGATAGAAAATAACTAAATGGTAATATTATCACTGTCAGGACAGGATACAGCCGGTTTTATTCCAACAAACAATATACACTCCCTTAAAGCAGATATTGAGATTTTGGGTCCTAAATAACCTGAAAATTGAAATTTCTAACCCAATATCCTAACTAACTTTGAGCCTGCGAAAGAATCAAGAAGAATTACATATAGAACCCAATGAAATTGCATAAGCATCAAGTTCATATCACAGACGAGATCAAGAGATGTTAATATCACGAAATACTCTACTAATTACATCAAGAAAGAGTAGGAGGATAGTTAATAAAGAAAACTTACCGGTCATCTTCTACGAAGAAATAGACGGCAACATTGATGGAGAAAGAGTTTATGTCGGTTAGACCTTGGGCGGAAGGAATTGATTAGCTTGCTAGGGCCGAATCTTATTCGGCTGAAAATTTTTCCCTAATCATGGTCTTTGGCGAGAGGAAGAACCAAGTAAATCGATTCCAAAGAGAAATAAAATATTCTTTGGAGGGAACATATATTTAGGAAAAAAATGGAGGGAAGATCTAAATTAATAGGAGTACTAAAACAATATACTATTATTAGTGGCTGTTCTTTTTGGTTGCCAGTAAAAACTTATTTATTCCCTGCAAATATATAATTGCCTCTAACATTGAGCTTCATTAAATGAATTACCGGCAATTAGTATATTGCCACTAAATAATTGCCGCTAAAAGTCTATTTTAGTGTAGTGAGATGGATTAGATGATAAAAGGTGAAGGGTAGTTGAGCCAGGTTAGCCAAATACCTAAGATATGCTACAACCCTCCATACAATAGAGTCAATCTGTCCTAAACACACATCAAAGAAACGGCAAAATTCAATAATGATTGGGTCAATATGAGGCCTAAAACCTAATGTGAAGGGATACGTATACACAAAAGAAAAGCCATATTTAAAAGAAGTGATCCTTTGATTTTTTTTGGGAACCAGAATTGGAAAATCAAATTTCCAATGACAGTCTCTACAAACAACAGAAATCAAACCCTCAGTAATCTGGGACGGATAAACATCAGCACGATCATGAGAAGTCATAGAGGTGACTTGATTCCTAATCGATTCTCTATCGGAATAAAAAGAGAGTTCAGCAGGGATAATCTCATCAACGGTAGGTTCGCGAATTGGCTCGCTGGAATCCCTATTTCTAGCAGAAGACCTATGTGAAAACAAGCCCTAGTTCTAGAAGACGATGGAGGAAAGAACTAGGTTAAGAAGAAGAACCTCGTATAGAAACTGACCCTAAACTACGCAACCTACCACCTCTCCTACTTCTGGTAGGAGCAAGGGGAAGTTCATCTACAATAAGAACTTTTTGAGGATCAGGGTTTGGAGAAGACATATTTGTATGGAGAAGTAGAATGTATTGAATGGCAAGATGAGAAAAACTCTTTCGTGAAAGAAAAGACAAAGGATATATTTATACTTGGAAGCAACCGTCATACAAAAAGGTAATAATGGAAACATCATTATGAAAAATGTCATTTCGTGATTGATGCAGCTGTAAAAAATGCCCTAGAAAGCGCTGAAGAGTTGTAGAACCAACCATAGGCCACCACGTGTCACATGCATTAAATAGAAGTGACATACACTGCGTCAATTCAGAAGAAGCTAAAATGATATGTGGAAATGGCATAAAAAATTCCCTCTTTAATGAGATCCACTTCCTAAATATTCAATTGCTAAATAATTGGCAAGTGGGGGGACTATCCTGAATATACTTATTTACTTTGCTTTATATCGATTGCTTTGTTATTTCTTATTCTAATTTTATTTTTCCATTGCAAAAATATCCTTTCATTTGATTATTAGTAATCCGAGTACTTCTTAAAATAAGCTTTAACCGAAATTCCTATTTTCTAGTTAAACAAAGACATTGTCATGTAGTATGAGAACATTGGATGTCGGATGGGGGCGGAGTTAGAAATTTTAATAAGGGAACTAAAAAACATACTATAAGAATATCACACTTGAGATTTCAATTTGTACGCTAAAGTAAATTTTGGATAATCTTTATTAATGTACTAGATGTTCCCTTTATGTTGACAGTGGTTCGAGTGATTCAGGTTTCACTGATGCGTTGAAGGTGGCGGCTCACTTCAAAGGGAAAGGCAAAGATATAACCTAGTTTGCTATTCAATATTAGGGTATTATATCTAGAAGCTTCCAAGGATATTTATGTCATTATACACATTAGTTAGTGGAGTAGTTAGGTCGGTTACTAGCTTATTAGCATACACTATATATAAAATCACAATTTGTGCATTTCTCTCAATTCCCTCGTTTCTAACACTTTATGTCAAGGATCCACCGATTTGTGTGTAGACGATCTGTTTCTTTTTTTTCTTTTTGTGTAGCGTAAGTTTCGAACCTCCTTCCCATTATGTAGCTCCGCCCCTTGTGTCAAATATGGAAGTTAAGGTAGTACTTGGGATTGCAAGATGTACTAGTAATATTTAGTCATACTGATCCCGAGATTTACCTGAATGTATATATGAGAGAATGGAGAATACACTTAGCTAGCATTTAATTTGGATATAGATTTGGTTAAAACTTGAAAAATGAATTTTTAAAGTTGCGTTGAAAAATAATTTTTTGAAGTTAAAGTTGTGTTTGGACGTGCATTTTACTTAAAAAATAGCTTAGGTTTTGTGAATGGACGAAAAAATTACAGTCAAAAACTGCCTAGACCAGTTTTTGGAAATTGAAATTTTTTTTCCAAAAACTGATCAACTTTCATGAACAAACAATATTTAAAAAAATTTGAAAAAATAGCCAAAAATCTATATCCAAACGGGAGCTTAGTAGACATCTTTTAGCATTCTCAAATTGTTGGAAAAGAAAAAATTATCCACACTCGTGCGCTTCACAATCGGAAAGAGAGACATTTGCAAATCCAGTTTCGAGGATTCCTTTTTTCTGAAATTAGAATTTTCTGTTGATTATTCACTGTAGAATGTAGATTCATGAGTGATGAGTCAAGTTAGTCGCATTTACATTTACTAGTTTTAGTGTACGTGTGTTGCACGTGTACATTGCGTCAACCAATATAAAGCGTATACAAGACGAACATATTATTGGAAAATAGTAGTGACATTAAACTAAATGGAATATTTGTCTAAATGATGCAAATGAATGTTGTTACATTGAACAATAGCTAAATTCAATATTTTCTGATTGATGTTAGTTGAGTTAGTTATATTTGTAGTTATAAATATCTTACTATATAAGATACAAACATGCTATGTGTTGCATCTTACCTAACCTCTCATTATGAAATTTATTTTTGCAACTTAAGTATTTTTATGTGCTCATTAAAAGTTCATCAACATAATAGGTTATAAGCTAAGTGGACATTTTCTTGAGTGAAAAAAACGAAGATGCCTATATTCATGTCTAGTACTTATAGGTGCAAGTAAGGGTGTTCATGGTTCGGTTTGGATCGGTTTTTCCCTAAAAAGAAATCAAACCAAGTAAATCGGTTTTTCAAATATTAGAACCAAATCAAACCAATTAAGTTGGTTTTTTCTCGATTCGGTTTATGTCGTTTTTTCGATTTTTCGGTTATTTGTCGGTTTTTTCTTAAATATAACACATACACTACCAAACACACATTTTGGCGACCACGTTTTCAACTTAACACTATCAAATCAATTGCCCTTTGAGAAATCTATTATTTACCAAGATATATTGATGATAATTGAATCAAATAGTGATGAATAATTTAAGGACTCAATTAAAAATATATTATTTTTAACATGAAATAGATTCTTACACTTAACAAAAGAAAACTACCAACTAAACTAGAATGTAAAGGAAAAGAACTGTACTAAAAGTGCAAACGATTAATATTTAGTATAAAAATTTTAAAACTTTGTATAAAAGTATACATATATATAGGTGTAATAATAAATTTAAAAATAGCTACTCCTATATTCGGTTTGGTTCGGTTTTTTTTTATTAAAACCAAAACCGAACCAAATTTGATCGGTTTTTAAATTTCAAAACCAAAACCAAACCAAACCAAAAAGTATCTATTTTTTTGATCGGTTTGGTTTGGTTTTCGGTTTGATTCGGGTTTTCGAATTTTTATGAACACCCCTAGGTGCAAGTTAGTCTCTTCAAGTGGAAGCCATGGTTTAAATCAAAATTAAATTCCCTTGTTGACAGGTTCAAGAGTTCTAGTGAGGACTTTGAAATTTCAAGAGTTCACAATTCTAAGGATAATTTTTCAAATTATGGGAAAAAATAAATTTATATTTATTTAACAGTTTCAAATAAATTATTAATTTATTTTTTTGGTTAAAAAGGATTGATTTTATTAATAAAATAAATTGTTAAATTAGATACATCATAGGGGTAACGTAGTTACAATTTTACATAGTATTAATGTAGCTGAATTTATTTTTTAAATTAATATGGCCATGTTAGTTGAAACTTTTATTGATACTTAAATCAAATCAAACTCTTAAAAAACTAAAAGAAAAATGAACATTGTGTTGATGTATCATGATTTGTAGGTAATCAGTTATTGGTAATACTTGGAGAGAAAAGTATTATTCATATACGTTACAGGCTAAGAATAAGAAAAATTTCATAGCCACGTATTTAACTACAAAAGCACTTCTGAAGTTCATATGCTCCGTAAAAGTTGGTCAAATAAGGAAATTTTATACAAAATCAAATTTTAGTTGAATTTGGATTCCTAAAATCCAAATTATTAGGACATTCTATTTAGTTCAAATAAGGAAATCTTAATTAATTTGGAATTTTAAATATTATGAAAATAATTAAATAATTATTTTATCTAATGTAAAATCTATTTTTAAAGGGTAAAAAAAAAAGCGAACAACATTTCACTAAGGGCCTTTGTGCTTAGGTATATGTGCTGCCTTGATATGAATGGGTTTTCCACGAAAAAATATATAACATACGTCTTATATTAAGATGGAGATTCCTAAACTTCTCGAGCTCAACTTCTACATGAATTAAGGCTTGAATCGGCAAAGAGAGTTTGTTGTTTTTGACTAATAGAAAACGTCCTTATTCACAAAGTAATTTTATACATTTCATGGGTTGAATAAGGAAAGGATGCATAAGAGATAAAAGTTTGATTGATTTTAAAGTCCTAAATATTATGACACAATTAAAAATTTTAGTTGATTTTGAAGTCCTAAATATTAGAAAAATAATCAAATGACTATTTTATCTAGTATGAACTCTAGTTTCAAAAGGGTAAAAAACGCGAATGACATTTCACTAATGGCCTTCGTGCTTTTAATATAGTACTAGTCTCTATAAACGTGCCTCACACGTTATTGCCCATCAATTATTGTAGACAAATCTTTAGGTAATAACAAAATAGATAAGATTTCTAGAAGCATATGCAAAGACTTGTTATCAAACCATAATAAGACCTTGCCGAAAGATCCTGAAATGTGACGATTTTTATGCAAATTTGTTCTGATACTTGCTTCATGTTGTGACTTCTTACTAAACGAAGGAGAAGAAATTTTTTGGATTATCTACACGTGTTACTTTTAATATTCTTCTTATTAATTGATCTTCGCTCTTTTTTTGTACTTTTTCTCCTTTATATGATACTTAAGATTCGAGTTTTGGCATGTTATATTATTATATTATGTTCTCAATGAAATCGATGCTCAATGGTTTGTCTCAATTAATAAATTCACCATAAGAATTTATTTCACCTCGAGAAACTATATAGATGTTATTCTTATGATCATAGAACTTGATGTTCCGTATCCAGCAACTTTAAGCATTTGGGGTCTCCTAACTTTGTTTATTTTTTAATTTAAAATCTATATGATATTAGCTGGTTATCCAAAATAGATAAAAAAAATGCATTACCAATATATATGACTTAAATCCTATTCAAAATCCTTAAGGTAAAAAAACCACATTAATAATAGTCTGTTTGACCAAGCTTCTAAAACAAATTTATTTTGAGAAGTTTTTAAAATAAAATTACTTTTGGTGAAAAACAGTTTGTGTTGACTAATTAATTTGAATAGCACTTTTGAGTAGCAATTGATGTTTGGCCAAATTATTTAAAAAGTGCTTCTAAATGAAATTTTTTTTCTCAAAAGTGCTTTTAAAAAAAATACTTTTGGGAAGAAGTTACTTTTTGTGCTTCTCAAAAACTACTTCTACTTCAACAAAAGTACTTTTTAACATCTTAACTTTGGAAAAAAATACTTTTGGCCGAAGGCTATTAATAAGTCCCATGAATTTGCCGTTTTTAGGCTATTTATCTTTCTAAACTTGACTACAATTGTAATTGGAACTTGCCTGCGTTAAGAAAATCATGTTTTCATAAATTATATATAGAATTAAAAAGTTTTTAAATACTTATTTTTCTATTTTGTGTATTAGTACACGACGTTAGTCTCAATTAAAAAAAGTTTCTTAACATAAATTAAAGTTTTTTCTCCCAACAAATTAAAGTCACGTTCTTTGCTTCTTTAATCTTTATGGAAATTTTTTTGAGTAGCTAAAAGATAGTAGTTTCCATGAATATAAAATTCTAATTGAAGTCAAATTCCTAAATGTTTGAAAAGTTATAAATATTACAATTTTATCCAATATGTTTAGAAAAATTGTTCAATATTTTATGGGAAAGAAAATAATATGGATTCCCGTATATCTATATGTTATTATCCTACTTGAATCTCGGAGTGCATATAAATGTGCTAATAAAAATTATACCAAGTAACTATGTACACCTGAAAGTAATTTAAACCAAAATATGAGAGTACTCAGAGTGCAGAAGATTATAATTATAAATGTTGGGAAATATTCTACCTTATAGACGCTGCAAAATTTTCATATGATGGTGGAAGAAGTCGAAGCAACACATAAATATCACACAATTTAATTTATATCAATGATATAAGCACCGCCCAATTCAGTTGTCCAAGGACATAATCCAAATCAATATTAACAGAAAAAAGAAAGACACAAAATATTCTATAATATAGCATGCAAGCATTTTATTATTCAAAAGGAGAGGATACTTTATCAAATTTAGAGAAAGCGGGACTAAATTGAATTCAACTTTAAACTGCATTAAATTTATTTAAATTTGATAGATTTATTTCTTTAAATTCAGAAGTAGAATTTATTTAGAAATCTATTTTTATTATGTTTACCAAAATATCGTATAGATTTATGTTAAGAATAGTGTAAGTAACATTTAACTTTCGTGCTCTTTTATAACCGGGTTTTCATATCCTTCTGTAGTGAGAATTTTGATAATTTTAGAATTCGCTACCATATATCGGCTTTCACGCTTCAAAGCTCCAATTTAAAAATAAAAACATCTTTGCATGTAAAACCAATAGACACTTACGTATTATATGGTACAAACTTAAAGTTTTTGGCACTCTTCTTGAAGAAATTTATTGTGTAATAAAAAACAAACAACATTCTTGGCATTGGCAAAAATTCAAAGTAATACTAAAAATTTTAATTGCAATATTCATAATAATAATTTGCATAAGAATATAATTAAGCTAATTGAAGAATCAACTTAATTTTAGAGAAAAATAAGCTAAAAATAAAAATTCTAGGAGCATCATAATGCGGGTCATGTTTTAATCTTTAGAAGAAAAAGATTCTCTTCCACTTCCCTCGTCTAGTAAAATACTGCATCATAATGTTAATTATGTTTTATTCTTGTGGATTTTTGAAAGAATCCTAATATGTTTGGTTAAAGGGTGCAGAAGTCGGTATACATGTAGTATCTCAAACAGCCGAGAAACTGAATTTGATTAATATTAGAAGTCCATGAAATCGGAGTATTAAGCATAGCTTAAAATATCAGTTTTACCCTACATGGTATTATTCGTCAATTAATATCCTAAGGATATTTTCGTAAACTAATATTATATTCATGCTTTTATAATAATATAGATATAGATAGATAAAGAACGTTTTTAATGACGGTGCTCTTCGAACCAGCTTGCGTGCATTTTGACAATTTCATGGATACCTATTACCTCTTACTAGTACAGGCAGCAGATAACTTTATCCATCAATACTTGGAGAGATAGAAAGAAATCACCTACTAATATTTTTTGTCTCCGCTGGAATTTAAACTTGAGACCTCGTTAGCTCTCTCACATCAATGAATACTAGGCCACATCGCTGATGTTGAATCAATCAGATAATGCACTTATTTTAACTCTTAACATCCTGTTTATCAGACAACCTCTAAAAAGAGGTAGATAGAAGTCTGTACTTTAGTTAGCATCATGAAGAAGAAGAAGAAAAAAAAGGGGTAAAGCAAACAAGATTTGGAACCTTTTTTTCTTTTGGTTTTTCACTTGGCTGTATTTTATTTGGGCCAGCTAATGAATTTGCGCCAGAAAATCGCACTTTAGGCAATAAAACACTCCCTAATAAATATAACTTCATACTTAAAGACTCTAACCTTACACTTCTGTTTAGGAATGAAGTAGTACTTAGTACTCCACTGTAACCCTTGTTAATAACAATATTTTTGAACTTATCCTTGAACATATCCTAATATATAATCTTTGATTAAAATTTGTAATCACAACTTTTTTATTTTAGTTTTACTTTGAGAAAAATCAAAAAAAATCTTATTTTTAAAATACTCTTTGACTATCAAAATTTAAGTGTGATTGGTTAAGTCTTAAATTTGTCAAATTAATACTCAATAAACGAAAAGTGAGAAATAAATCAAGAATACACATTAGCAGCATAAGTAATTCTCAAAGACAAAAGTTCTTAAGAGGGGCGCATTCAGCAAGTTATGAGGTTATTTTGCTATCTTTGGACAAAGCAGCCAAAATAGAACTTGAATCAAAATGCCGAGGCTTTCTGTATCAACTCATTTTAACAGTTACTTTGTTCATAGTTGTGCGTATTAAACCATTCTTGTATAATTCGTAGTTGTCAATTTAATCAATAACTTTCATATGGAACGGAAATCTATGCTTTTACCCAAAAGAAGGAAGAAATAGAAAAGGCAAACTTCGGAGGTCAAGTTGAAAACAAAGAGAGTCAAATACATAAGCATACTCTTTACCTTAAACGGGGATAACGGATTCATCTGGCGAGTACAGGTGAAGAACACCAGCAAAGCGAAGTTGGAGGTCGGGCATTGATACAATCATCAAAAGACGGATACAAACTGGTAAGAAGGCCGACGACCACATGGGAAGGTTCAGAGCCAAAACATCTTTTGACATATCCACGAGCAACGCCTCTTGCATGATGATAGACATGCATTGATCCATTAGTAGCAAAGACATCAAAGAATCGAGTGAATGACTCACGTTTTAGAGGTACCATTTTGCTAGAGCTAAACAATAACAGTACAGTTTAGAAACTAAACAGAAAAATATTACTAGTATAAGTTCAGACATACTTTCCTTTGAAAATAATAGTGTGTCAATCAACTAACTCAGTTAGCGCTAAAAAATGAGAACCAATCTTTCTAAAACAGTTAAAAGAGTATATCTTGAAAGCAAAACAGAGCAAGCCCACCAATTTGGTAAAACTTCTATCCTACTGCATAATTGATATATTTCCTCCATTTTAGGTAGGATCATAAAGTTCAAAATATGAGAATCATAAAGTTCAAAATATGAGAATCAGCGTATCCAATTTTCAATGTTGATACGAACATCTATTTCGAATTTATTTTCAGAAGCAGTTTAACTACATAAAAAGTATTACAAGTTACAGTTTTATAAAAATTTAACAAAAATTGTTAAGGAGAAAAAAATAGCAGCTACTTGAACAGAAAGCAACATTCTTTTCGGGAAGGAGCAGGAAAACAAAATTGAAAGTCAACAGACGTTACTTTATTCTACAGCAATGGGATGAAATACAATGAAGAAGGAAAAAAGGGAGACAAAAGGGTATAAAAAAGAACAGGCAAACAGACCTGTATAAGCGCCACCAAAGAAATGGATCAATCACTCAATTACATCTCAATCCCCAACTAGTTGAGATTAGTTATACGAATTGTCTATACGCAGTCTTTCCTATTGGGCACGGAAAAAAAGGATAAAAAAACAAAATTGATATGCTGACTTTTACAGGATAAATAATTTATGCTTATAGCAGACATGCAGCAAACTTACACTGGACAAATTGGCTCATTGCAAAACTGTTCTTGTTCATTCTTCAAGATCAGTTTAGCACTACAAGAATCATTAGACAGCAGATGCTACTCCTTTGGATCGCTTCCTTTTCCTGTTCTTCTTCCCATGAGATTTCCCTTTCTTCTTTGAAGGCTCTACAAATGACTTCTGTTTTATGCTTACTTCTTCGTCCGAGGGGGCGTCACTCATGGAATCCTCCTCCTCATCAGAACTGAGGATAAAATCCTCTACAATGTCTTCATCAAAAGCAGTCTCATCTTGCAGCTCCTTCCTTCTCTTCTTTTTCTTCTGCTTCTCCTCTGTAGACTGCTCGGCCCTGCAACATATCATATCAGTGAAATACGTTCATATACCAACTACATAATAAAGATAGCGTTTTGACCCCCGCTTCAGGTCTAAAGGGTTCTTTTCCTCTTCAGCAGTTAGTAGGGCTAGGAAAGTGGCTAAGAAGAATGTAAACATACTTGGTATTGCCTGCAGGTAGCCAAGAAGAACTGAAGACAGCATCTCCTTTGCTATCTTTACCATCATCATCGTCATCATCTTCGTCACTTTCAGTTATCTTAGTCCCAAAGATGGCTGAGTTTTGACCAACAAGTACACTGCAGATTACAAGTTCATTACTATATGATTCACGAAAAGATAATCATCAGATACAATTTTAAGAAAAATAGAGTATTGTGAAACCTGGATTCCTTTAATGAATCATTTCTCTGTTGTGCTCTCTGTCGGAGCATGGCGACATATTTTGATAGAGGACTCACTCCTGCATTCTTATCATCCTAAGGATGAATTTGAAGGTAAGAATTGTTTCCAGGAAACCAAGTCAAAAAAGATGCTTAATAACTTATCAGTAAAAGACTGAACATCGTGAACCTCTATGACGTTGCAAGCTTAAGAACAATACTTCGGGAAACCGTGATCTAAACAAGATTTATAGCCTCGGGAAGCCAAAAGCATTTTTTTCTGAAAAATGCACTCTTGGGAGATTTGAGATGTTTGGCCAAACACCAAGAATGCTTTTGAGTAGCAGCAGCAGCAGATTTATGCTATGGGAAGAAGCTAAAAAATTTTGCGAAGCATAAGCAGAAAATTATTTTTTCCAAGACAAATATCCTCGCCAAAAATTTATATTTACAAAACTATCTCATTAATTTAACCCATGCATCTCAAACATAAATACAATCCTCTTTTCCTCTTCCCATTTTTGGTTTAACTATATTTATATTGATTTAAAACCTTCATATATATATATATATATATATATATGACACACACAACAACAACAACAACAACCCAGTATAATCCCACAAATGGAGTTTGGGGAAGGTAGAGTGTACACAGTCTGTTTCCCTAGGCTTTATGTTTTAAATTTTAACTAAATAAAATAAACACTTATTAAAGTATTTCATAAAAACTATTTAAAATCATTTCTTTATTTAAATAATATTAACTTCAAAATAAACCCTGATTCGTAATTGACACTAAAGCACTTTTTGGAAAAATAAGCCAAACACAATCTATTTTTCAAATACTGGTAAAACACTTCCTAAATTATTTTTCCAACCACACATGCTTCTCCCCAAAAGTACTTCTGCAAAGTAATTCTCAAAATAAGCAGTTTCTGGAAGCCTGGCCAAACAGTCTCTTAAAGAGGTAATGGATTAACTTTAGAAGACCATATCCTCATAGTAACCCAACTATTCATGTCCATCAGAAAGATGCTCTGACAAGTTGTCGACAAAGCTTTCAATGTGTTCTCGACTAACGAAAGAAGATACCAAGTGCAGATTGGTTGACAAACAAAAGCAAGTTGACAGAATTTTACTGGTAAATGGGCAAAGTTTATATCACGACAAGTTAACTTCAACATTTTGCAAGATAAAAAGATGCTTCAAAGGCTACTTCCGCTAAAGCCATTAGAGAATTTCGGTGTTCAAACCTCAAGACAAGATTCTGCCGCTGGGTCATTAGGTAGAAATGAAATTGTCGTACGCTTCTTGTTTGTGTACTCTGAATTGGCTTCAATCTGTACCATTTTACAAGTCAACTTCATTTACTTATAACACAGGCTACATAGCAGAATAAACAAATTGTGCCAGCTAACAAATAGTCTGTAATAGAGATTAAAGAAGCAAACATGGTCTACGGAGAACTATATAGAGTTATTAATGGAGTACTAACATGTGACTTAAGAAAATAATACATGGTCATATCACCAATAGAACCAAGTGTCCAACAAGCATACCTCGCGAATGATTTGCCTAATTTCACGACGGAATCTTTCGACATTGGTGGACTTGCAGAAGTTGCGCAACCTAACAACAGGGACAAACGACAGCTCAAAGAAAGCAACTGAGTAGCTCCATTGAGCAAGATGCTCAGCAAGCTCCTCAACCACAGATAAAACACACGCTTCCTGAAATGCTCTCGTTTTCAACGTAAGTTTGCTAACCTGATACATCAAAAATACAGATTCAGAGAGGTAAGGTAAGTTCTTATAAAGCAGTACACCGATAACCTAAAGAAAATAGAGGCATTTTGAAAAGTACCCTTAAAACAGTACGGAAATCTATGGCTTTTCCAACTCCCCCTGTTGGAGGCCTATGCAATTCTTTTATCTCCAGCATGTCTAAAAGGAGCGTGGAAACAGGAACAAAAGAATTGGTGGAGGCAGCGATTCTGTTGAGCATTTTGATGCATCGCAATCTAAAAGGAAAATAGCGAGCAGTTGGAACCAAACGTGCTGCGCCAGAAATTATTTGTGTCAGTGGATAAGCCAGGGGCCTAAAATCTGGTTCTGAGCTGTAAGCACAGATAGCTGCAGTCCACAGCTCAAGACAATGTATATACTTCCACTGGTAAACCTTCAGAAATGACTCCTGAAAAGGGATTGAAAAAGAAGGAAGTATGATTAGATCCACTAGAAGGCAAACATAACCATCAAATAAAATAAAACATGTCGCGTAAAATACTGAAGCAACATGACACTCTTTTTCTTTTTTTTGATTAATCAACTTGACACTGAGCTACATGTGTCTTGAAAATTGTAAAATAAGGTGACAAGGCATTTTCCCAAATCAAACACTTAAAGCAGAATATTCTACCAGAATTTAGTCAACTCTAAAAAAGAATATTAAAAAAAAGGAAAAAGGAATGCTGCTTTCAAACCAAAGGATCAAATTCATCCACTACCAGTACCAGACGAGTTTGAAGCCACGGCTCAGCTAATAACTAACAGGAAGAGAAAACCTCTGTATAGGACTACCTCCTAAACCGAAACAAAAAGCAGAATAAGCATACGAAACTCATTCGTAACACTATTCCAAAGATCAGCACTAATGAAATTACCCAATACCAACTTGATCTAAGTTCTTTTCTGTGCTTCCACAGATGATTTGTTAACTTTTCGAGATGATTCTTAATAAAGAGCTCACAAGGGAAGTACCACGATTACCCGCCACTAAAAGGCACGGATAGTGTTCAAAAAGACACAACTAGTCATGGAAATATACTGAAGCAATCTGATAGTCTTTGAGCACTTTTTTCTCATGTGAAGACGTAAGGTACAAAGCAGCTTTGCAACTTTAGACCAATATACAATGTAATCAAGTACCCAAAGAAAAGGCAGTACAAAGTTATCTCTTAACCACCCAGAGAATAAAAATTAAACACACATTTTAGTTACCATAATCCCAAAAAAAAAAAAAAAATCCAGCTAAAAATATAAGAGTCGAAGTACCTTGGCCTTAGTATTGTGTGCTTCCTTGGACGATTGGTTAGTCTTTTGAGACGATTTCTGGGAAAGATTTGACAAGGGAAGAGCAATGAGCTTGCAGCCACTAACGGGCAAGGTTAACTTTCAATAGGATACCACCATTCATGTAAAANTTTTAGTTACCATAATCCAAAAAAAAAAAAAAAAATCCAGCTAAAAATATAAGAGTCGAAGTACCTTGGCCTTAGTATTGTGTGCTTCCTTGGACGATTGGTTAGTCTTTTGAGACGATTTCTGGGAAAGATTTGACAAGGGAAGAGCAATGAGCTTGCAGCCACTAACGGGCAAGGTTAACTTTCAATAGGATACCACCATTCATGTAAAATACTAAGCAACTTGATACTCTTTGAGCGCCTTTTCTCACGTGAAAATGTGAATTTAGGCTAACTTCTATTTTGAAAATGTTAAACCAGAGTATTCTTCAGCTAAAAATTATGGAAAAACATAGAAAACCCCTATACAAGATCCCCTTTTAACCCCAAAAAATTTATAGAATAAGCATATATCAGTGGTTGGTAACAAAAATCCAGACATAAGACATTTACCATTAACAGAAATAACAAACTGATACCTTGGTCTTAGTACCACCACTATGTGCTTCCCGTAAAATCATTGCTAATTGCCGAATGAAAACAAAGGCATGCTGGTATGCATTGGGAAGATCCACCCTAAGTAGTTCAACAAAACAATTACCAAGAAACTGAATATGCTGCAGCTTAGTTGCACTCATGAATTGGCAGTTCAACAAATAAGCTTTATACATTCCTCTAATGCACTCGTCAATGCAATCAGAACCAAGCTGCATACACAGGTCTCTTAGAAACAGAAAAGAGACAACTGGTAGTGCACCTCCGCCTGTACCCCAGAAATGAAGAAGAACCTGAAAAGTTAAATTCTGCTTAAGTTCATTTTCTTTAGAAAGAGAGAAGAATACTTCATACAGAGAATAAAAACTCTTGTGCCTCATGTCTTCTGAAAACAGAAAAGTCTAAAGCTTGAGTTCTTCGCAAGTATTTTTAAACTTAATTTTTATGGGTCATTAACTACCAACCAACAAACTTGAATTTCCCCTTTTTTTAATAGATATGTTACTATAACAGGATGCTTATATAAGATTCTTTTTTAAGAATTTCAGGACAGATATCAACGAGCTAAATTTTTTCATGACAGTATGGCATAAGCAGCCAGTGGGATTAACCGCATTTTATGTGTTTTGGATCTATTTACTTACTTTTGAATAGCATTTAAACATTCATTTTCGCAGTTTGAAGTGATCAAGGGCCAGATGCCATGTCATTCAACTGTCAAAAATCAAATTCACGTGCCTAATACCGAACATATGTGAAGGACTCCTATGAGAAAACGAAGATACTTAGCTTTTAGCAACAGCTAAAACCTTGAATCCAAAATAGACTAACCTTCCCCCTCTGCCCAAAAGGGGGGGGGGGGGATGAAATGTACAAGTTTCTTGTAAAAAAGAGGTATATTCTTGCAGAAGAAAACTGTTGGTGTGAATTCTATTAACCATTCCTTTGGACAAGAAAAAAGTTCACGTGAATTTTAAGAGTTATATCACTCAATCCCATACCTTCATATATTTCCTTAAAAGGACTGGAAAAGCAGCCAAAAATACAGATGAGAATCTGAGTCTTCGTAATGTAAATGATATCATTTCTGCATCAGTCATCTGGTTTAGAACATGTAGAGCATTTCCGAGATATGATTTCACCAAGTGGTTGTTGCTCTTCCACCGTTTAGTATTGGATATATCCTTTATCATCTGCTTCTGCCCACCAGAAGTTGGCAATTTCAACAGGCCACGAAGAATTCCGTCCATTTCTTTTAGAACAAACAACATTATTTTGTTGAACACACTGCTAGACATGGTACTCCACTTTGACTTAGCGTCTTCACCAGCATCATCACCGTAATGACAAGCTGTTCGAAAAGCTCTCATGAGAGACCTAATAGCCCCCGAACTCCTATTTTCATGAATTGAACCACACCAGGAATCCACCATTGCACTAGTGATGACATTTGTGGATGACTTGACCTCCTTTCCATCTGCATGAACACGTTGTTCAGTGTCAAATTCATCACCTTCGTCAGCTTCTTCTATTTCGTCTCCATCAATTTCAGTCTCGGCATCATCCTTCACAAAATTGAGATAAGATTCTACAAACCATTTTAAATATCATGAGAACAACAAGAAGGAAAGAAATAATAGAGACTTACATCAATATCCTCATCGTCAAATTCAAGGAGCTCCTTGTCATGCTCTTGCAAGAATTGATAAAACTCAGGATCCTACGAAAAAATGTGGCATATATTGGTTAAGACTTAAGAGCAATATCAGCACAAAAAAGTTCTGGAATGGATATTTGCACCATACTACTCTTGCAATGAAAGACTCAAAATGTATGGCAGATTGACATGATTGCACAATGATGCAAGTAGGCCAGACATAAAAATGAGCTACAGATAATGAGCTTAAACTCCATAAGGGAATCTACCAAGGTTAAGGCATGTCTGGTTTTGATATCATACCTAATAAAAATGTGATCGTAATAGGTACCTGTTTCTTCAAAGTTCAAACCTCCCATAAGACCCATATTCTGGCGTTGGCCGGGGAATATCCAGCAATAGTTTCCATAGAATGAATAACGGACCCGGCCACTATAACAGAAACTGAAATAGAAAGCCCCACAGGCACCATGTTCGAGGAGCCCAAAAAATGAAATGAACAAATCCTTTTCTATCTGTTGCAGGTTAAGGGCTCCTTCTAACTCCCTTCTTCAAAATCCAATCCGTATTTTTTATAGAGAAATCCCTAGTGATATACATGATACCATCCATTCTAGCTATGCTATTGTAAGAATAATTTTTCTTTTATGACCAAGAAATCCATCTTGAGCCAACCCTGAGGAGTGAGGACAAATCCCAGCTTCCAAAACTCAGGATAATGGGCCCATCACTCTACCCTCTCCACTTAAATACCAGGCTTAGTTCGCATAGAAAAGTGCTCGAATCTATGACCTAAGTCACAAGTCCCTCAACCTTTACCACTTGAACTAAGTCCTAGGGGCCTGTGCCTTGTTGTAAGAATAAAATACCTAGTCGATTCCACTCTTCTAGCCAAAAAGTCCTTTCTTTTACCAATTTTTCCATCTTCTCATTCATTCCATACGTGCCCTTCTTCCCCAAATTCTTCCGATTCTACCAGGGATCGGTCTTCATCATAAGCAATATAAAAAACACTTTTTTAACTAACACTTACATCTTTCTCCAATAGGGGTGATTAAATTAGAACTAGTTATTCAACAAGCACTTATATAAATGATCATAATTAGTTTCACACTATATTTTTTTAACAAGGAAAACTTCACCCTAAAATCTAAACAAGCCCTTAAGGAGTGACATAAAAAGGGTACTTCATAGCAAATTTTAAGCCCAAGACAAGTTGAAAACACAAGTAGAATCGTAAAAAATCGATCCAAACGTTAGAATTAGTGCCAGACAGTACTAAATCCAGAATTAAAAGCATAACAATCTCACCTTTTCTTGGAGTCTTTTCAACTGCTCCACATGTGACATCGCATTTTGCTTCGTAGATGATTTAGGCATCACTTCATCTGTATTTTTTTCAACCCCAGAGGATTTTTTGCTCAATTTTTCTGATGCTGACATACCCCACAAAAAAAAAGGAAGTTAACAAAATGGAACATGATGAAAAACAGAAAAACGTGTTGAAAGAATGAGAAAGGAATCACCTTTGTTCTTCGTCCCCATTGATTAAAATTTGTAAGCTTTTTTTTCTGCTTTGCTCCGGGGTTTAGTGTTGTCAAGGGTTTAGCTCTACCGATAAAGCTGCTGTAATAGAAGAAACTCGGACTGGGCTGATTGGACCAAAGATGAAATAGCATGGGATAGCCACTTTTTAACATGTTATTTAGTTTTTATCCAATACTGAGCAAAACTAGCCATAACTATATTAAAATTAATATAAAAATACGTTTTTACCCTTTTTCATGAGTGTTGTGTAAATATTAAGGACATGAGTATTATGTAAATATCTGTTGATATGAGAATGGGCCAACGAGTAATTAGTAGTTTATTCAAGAAGAGCCTGGTTATGGCTAGACAAGAGGATACATACAAATCAACAGATCGTGCAAGATAAATATAGTGAATCCAGTCTCGCAGATAATGATATCGTGATCCTTGAAAAATATTCAGATATGAGTTGGACTAGTTAAAGATACCATATGAGTGTTACGGAAATAAAAGAGAATCCCACTGGGAAAACAATCAAAACTTCAGTTCAGAAGCAATCGTACGAGTGCATGAGTGTGGCGGTAATTAACTAAGGATAATTACAGGTTGAGTACTTTATGTTATGCCCCATGTTTTCGTACATGAAAGTACGCCATATGTAAATTGATGAAAGCTCGAAAATGAGATGTTATATCCCTTATTTTCGTACGTTAAAGTTTCGTCGTAAGTTAATCGACGTAAGTTCGAGAATGAGATTATTTTGAGATTATAAGTATTATACTATTTCAAACAAGTGATAAGTAAATTCGTGAAGGTGAGAGGATGAGCGAATCAAAGAAAATGAATTTCGTCGAAGTTTGATATTTTGGGATAAAATATGGTCCAAGCTATAATACCCCGTATCTATGGACTAGTACCATATAAGGTACCATATGACCATGATAGTAAGGTGTATAAAGTATGTTAAAAGTGAGTAGTATTTTAAGTAATTTGAGATAATTCTTAATTATGTGGATATTTGGTTAATTATGAATTTTGGTGGAAGATTAACAATGTAATTAAGGAATTTTGGATAAAGATTAAAGGGCCCCAATGTGGCAGCCCATAAAGTCTTGATCAAAGCCTAATAATGTGACTCTTTAAGTGCATAAAATAGGTGACACATTTGGAGGATTTATGTGGCTTAGTCATCACAAAAAGATAGGGCCCACAACCTACTATTTAAAGAAACTTCTTATCTCATTAGATTGGATACTAGGCTTACTAATTAAAGATTGAAAAACTTCAGCATGAAAATTTCATCCAAGATCATATATGATAGTAACGTAAGTTACTTCAATTCATACGAGATTTATTAGCATAATAGCAACGAGATTTTGCGATTCTAAGGGAGTACTATGCTATCTTTCTCAAGAATATCATACGAATTTTTCTCTACTTCGATCCGTCATTACGTGATTTGTCGCAATTGACGTATGTTAGAGGGTTTGTTAAGAGAATCGGTTCAGATATGTTAAGGCTATCCCTTCTTTCCTTTTGGCATGATCCATACAATACAAACGAAACGAGAAAATGTACAACTTCCATAAATGACTCTATTCATAGAAATGCTAGAGATGCTTATGTTCTTGATTTCCCATGTGTCATATTATTCTATCATTTGTTCATGGGTATCAGAAAATACGTAAGTTGATAAAGTTTACTTCATGATATTAATCAAAGGCATAATGGTCTTATGACATTCCGAAAGATTTTATTGACGTACTTCTCATGCATTGCATTTATTTATACATATATTTGACCCATGACTAGATGCGTTATATATGCGTATATATGTATGTATGTATATGTGTATATATATATATATATATATATATGTATATGTATATGGAAAATGGGAAAATATTACGGCGTTATATACGCACCATCACCTAATCAGTTGATTTACGTTGATGATTTACACATAGTGGCCGAGATGATATGATGGGATGCCGTCAGAGGCTTGATGATGTTATGAATGTATATACCCATGTATGATATTTGTACGCATATGCATGATATTATAAGTATTAAATGATTCACAGAGCTATTCAAACTTACATACCGAGTCTTTTACTCCATGTTTCTCTCACGTCTATTATTTACTGATTTGTATTCCTTACATACTCGGTACATTATTTGTACTGACGTCCCTTTTGCCTGGGGACACTGTGTTTCATGCCCGCAAGTCTCGATAGACAGGCCGAGAGTCCTCCAAGTAGGCTATCAGCTCAGCGGAAGATATTGGTGCGCTCCATTTGCTTCGGAGTTGCTTATTTAGTTAGTATGATTTGGACGTGTATTGTTTAGTATGGTGGGGCCTTATCCCGACCTTTATGGTATTTATCTACTCTTAGAGGCTTGTAGACATATGTCATGTACGTAAAAGATTGTATGGCCTTGTCGGCCTATGTTTAATGTACGAGTGATCATTTTAGTCTTATAGGCTCGTATGTCTTATGTATAAGTTGGTATTACATGTTTTATTCTAGTTATCATACGACAACCTTTCCATCTCATTTACCTATGATAGCATGATACGAAAAGATATGTTATGTCGGTACTCAGTTGAGTAAGGTACTGGATGCTCGTTGTGGCCCGTCGATTTGGGTCGTGACACTGGATCCCCCAGGAAAAAAAAGTTCTACATAAGTTAAGCTATGTAAAACAACCTGGGCGAAGAATACTTCTACTCGGAATATGAGCTGGATCCCCCTAGGTGAAAAGATTATACCTGAGTTAAGCTACATAAAACAGCATGGGCGAAGAATGCTTCTACTCGGAATATGAGCTGGATCCCCCTAGGCAAAAAGGTTCTACCTGAGTTAAGCTACATAAAACAGCCTGAGCGAAAATTATTCTATTCGAAAATATGAGTTGGTTCCCCCTAGGCGAAAATGTTTTAACTAAATTAAGCTACTTAAAACAGCCTGAGCGAAGGGTACTTCCACCCAGAAATATAAGTTGGATCCCCCTGGCAAAAAGGTTCTACCCGAGTTAAGCTACAAAAATGGGAGGTATGAACAGTAGTGATGCATACTAAAGATAAAAGAAAATAGAGATTTTGAGGAACTTAACTTTGGTGACATTCGTCCTTTAAGAATCGTCATTCTGCATTGCTTTGTTCCTGCTTGAAACAAAGAAAAATTTGTGAGTTTTCAAAGTGGTGGTCGGTTTGTGGCTTTGATGCCCTGAGTAGTTTGAATTCACGGCCACTCCGCTATCGAAGAACTGATTTTGTCAGTATGGTACCGAGGTGCTCGGATACTCTGTATCGCTTTCTAGAGACCTTGGCTTTCTGATGTTGCCCCCAACTATTTCATACCTAGATGTCCATGGTACCGCTAACCCTTATCCCTAAGGCAAGACAATTTTCCTTTAAAATCAAACTTAGTTGTCTTGTACCCAGTACTAGTTTGTGTCCGTAGCGCTTATCAACTTTTCCCATGAAGCAAGTCTTGCTTAGACGAACTTTTTAGTTTCTTTGAGACACTTTGTTCGCCTTATCAAAAGAGATCACAGATGGATTTGAGCCTTCGTCAATGCTGTATATGCCCCAAATTATGTTCGGTATGACAGGAAAACTATAGCCAGTTTTGCAGCCATTTCTTTGCTTCACTTTTGATGCAAGATTAGACCTAAAGGGACTCAAAGAAAAACTATGGGAAAAAATAGCAGAGCAATTGAAAGGGAAAAAGGAATTGTGTCTAAACAAAAGGTGTCCCTTTCGGGGAGAGGAATAGTGAGACTTATCTGGAGGTATGAGCCGACTTTAATGAATCACGACATGTATTTTGGATTGGACGCCTGATCTGTCTGATATGTCTAAATCTCAAAATCCTTCGCAAATGTTCATCTTGAAACTGTCTTAGTTATGCTCCTGTTAGAGTATCGGAGACCCTCATTCAGCTAGTAGCGGCCTTTGCGGGTTTTTGCTAATTGATCTCTCTCATTTCTCTACCCATTGTCGCCTTATGGTGCCCATATGGACTTTCACCCATAAGAATCTCTTATTTCTCTTCTCATTGTCGCCTTACGGAGCCCATACGGGTTTCCACCGATAAGACTCTCTCATGTTTTTTTCTTTTTTTCTTTTTCGCTGCCCTTGAATAATATACTGCTCGCGGCAAGTTGTCCAACACCCTTGGCATGGTGACTACAACATTCTCAAAGATTGATTAGAAGGTCTTAACGGGAAAAATTGAAAAGAACCTTGAACTGAATTACAATTTTTGGAACCTTCTTATAGAATTACCATAAAATAAAACAAACTTCTGCCCCAGTTTTGGAGTATTGGGATATAGATTTTTTGTTGTGATGGACCGAATCAAGGATAAGGTTGCCTATGTATCCTTTCGGAATCAGTTCGAACATAGTTCACTAACTCAGAAGATTTGTTGATGATTTTTTCTTCTTTTTTTTCGTTTTTGTTTGTTTTTACAAGTACATAGGTTCCATAAAGAGGGAAAACAAAGAAGACAGATACGACTCAAAAGGGTTAACAAAAAGGTGACAACTATTTGGGATAGTGAGCAATGGTAGCCTTCATCATCTCGATCTAAGAAAATATGTGTGAAAGTTCTGCAATGGGTATATATCAAACATAATATCTTTTGACTGCATCTGCATTAGCTGTTCTAATCGGGTCTTGACCCACTCAGTGTCTTCAATCTCTGATTCCATAGTGATTCGGAGAGAGGGAATTTTGACTTCAGTTGTTATTATAGCTTCTGTTCCATACACCAGCAAATAAGGAGTTGCCCCAACACATGTGTGTCGTGCGGTATCCCAAAAGAGCAAAAGGCAATTTTTCATGCCATTGCCTGGACCCTTGGATCATCTTCCTGAGAATCTTCTTGATGTTCTTGTTTGCCGCTTCAACGAATCCATTGTCTTTGGACAACAAGGGTTAGAGTGGTGATGCACCATTTTAAATTGCTCGCATAACTCCTTCATCAGATGACTATTTAGATTGGTTGCATATCAGTGATAATGGTCTTTAGGATACCAAAATGATAGATGATGTTGGAATGAACAAAGTCTACCACTGCTTTCTTTGTGATTGCTTT